CACCTTGTGTACTTGAGATGTTCTCAGATGTCCCTGACACCTACCGAAACCAAATGCTGTATGCAATTGGTTCTGTTATCTCCCATGTATTTCTGCTAGTTCTCCAATTGTTCCTGTAGGGAGACTTCTCTCCCTCTCTCTCTCTCTCTCTCTCTCTCTCTTTTTTTTTAATATTTTTTTGGTAGTCCTCTAGGATACAGACATTTCAGAGACGTCATGCATCCGTAATGTCTAAATGGCTCCTTCTTCTTTCCTTTCCCCTTCCACCACAATCAAGAAATTCCAGACAGAAGCTCTTTGGTCAGTAACAGCTGCACAGCAGATAATTTTTTGCATCCTCAGAGGTGTCATAGTTGTAACTCCATATATGCAGTTGTGATACACATTTATATTAAGCATCTTCCCGTCTTTAAGTTTCCTCAAGGCTCTTCTGATCATTCTTGATTCAGCATTTTCCTCTATTTTCTGTTCCTGGTTAGAAGTAGCTCCTTTCAACAGAAAGAAGTTGAGATAATCTGTTGTAAACTTGATTTTTAGGAAATTTTAATATTTTGCAGTCCTGTGTTGTGATTCAAAAATTGTGCCCCCTTCTTTCATCTCTGGGGTTTATAAGGTGTCAGCAATGATCTAGTCCATCCGGGAGCTTGCATCAATGCCTGAGAGAGCCATATGTGTCTGCCTCAAACAAGGCTATAGAAAAGTGTTCCACTAGCAACCCAGGTGTCATCCACCTGCTGGGCAACCCTGCAGCTAGTTAGCTTAATGGTGTATTCCTCTACTTGTCGTTTCTGTGAAGCAGACTCCAGTTTTCCTCTCTGTTCAAATTAACCAAAACCTCTGTGCTCTGGACAAAAAACACGCCCATTCTGGAGACTGTCAGGAAGTTTGTGGCTTGATGGATTTGATCTATTTATGTACTTCAGGATGTTGCACTCCCAAATTCTGCGTGAGCACATTGTTAGGAGATTGCTCCAGCCTTCTTGTGTGGGGAGCCCGTGCAGGGCGGGAGCGTGGGCAGAGGGAGCCACAGATGAGATGCAAGACCTGAGTGACCTTAGGTGCATGTAGAAATCCAGTCATGCTGCTACTACTTTAAGGTATTATTTTAGCACGCGGAGCTGTGTGAGGATTTCTCCGCAGCAGTCAGAGCTGGGATTGTCATGTAAACATTTTACCCAGCTACATAGAGTAAACCAGGTGATCATTTCACTGGGTGGCTTTAACGGAAACGTTTATTCAAGATGAAGGGGTTCACAGTCTTCAACATCCCCATTCTAGCTGTGATATTCTCGGATGGCCCTGCAAAGTCAGAGTCCAGGAGTGGTGATGGAAATGTACTGTGTGACAAGAAGCCCTGTACACTTCAGATATTGCTCGTTCTTAGTGTGGTAAAAGAGAGCCCCTTGGGACCGACTGCCATCGCTATTTTCTTGTCCCACCCACTCTATCTAGCATTTCTTTTTAGTCCACAGAGGCTGAGTCACTGTTGCAAATTCTGGGGTGATGTGATTTCTAACCTGTCTGTGAGTCAGAGCTGAGTTGAGAAGGGGGCAAAACAACAGGAGAAATGCAATCTAGATGAAATGTTTTATGTTAATGGCAATTCTATTGATATGTGTTGAGGCAATCTGGTGGCTTAATGTGTAAAAATGCATGTGCGCATTCAGACCACTATACAGTCAGGTCCATCAGTAGATCTTCATTCCTGTCTTGCAAGGGAGTTTTCCTGCAGCATCCCATTGATTTCAGTGCGCATAGAGACCATTGCAGCTTTTTCTGAATTCAGCTGCTTGCATGGTTGGAACCAACACAGTGCCATCTCCTGAGTCTGGTGAATTTTACCTGACAGCCATCGTTTAAGAAGTAGTGGACATGGATAAAAATACTTAGTGAACTTGAAGAGAAAATGGGTAGTCTCTGCAGGTCCTAAATAGGGCTAAGAAATCGATCCTAAATAAGAAACAGAGAAAAAATTGCTTCTTGGCTGTACACTAGAGGCCTCTCTTCCACAGGTGTAAAACATTGTTTTGTGGGCACAGTAGCAGCTCTGAGCTGAAAAAGTAGGTGAGAGTGAAATCAGGACAATTCCATGGAAGAGAGTAGAGTTGTGGAGGCAAAACAGGGATTGAAGAGGTGAACTGTACTCCCTCTAGCTTCATCTTCGAATGATACAAAGGGATTTGTAGAATAATTCAGGTCAGAAGGGACCTTCTGGAGTTCATCTAGTCCAGCCTGCAGTAATAGGACTGAGGCTTTTCTAAAGAAATACTCTTGAATCTAGAAATTTGTTATTTAGATCTTAAAACTTGATATTTTTTTCATATATTTTGAATTGCTTGTGTTTGGGCAGAAGTGCAGTAAAGGTCAGTGGAGAAAAGTAAAGTATGAAAAACACCCTTAATTCCCTGAGTAAGTGCCAAAAAAGAGCAAAGTTGACCTGAACTCTTGTTGCAGGTGGGAGGGAGTTACCATCCCATGAGTAGCTGGAAGCTGTTGCATGTGTTTAAAGTAACCAGTGCTGTTTTGTTTCCCTGAAACGTTCCCTTCTGAGTGTTTGATGTAATTAGTAAAGAATCTTGCCTTTACTTTCTGAGAAGGGAAACAGCTGACAGTTCTTTACTCACATGACGTATTTTTTTTATTGTATTCCATTTGCCACAAGGCTGCTACCACTGTTAGATAAAACAGTCAGAGAAACTGTTCCACATCACCTGCTAAAACATAAAGGTTCTCTCAGAGGTAACTGATGGGTCAGAGTAACATTGAGTAAGCTTTTTGTGAGAAAGGAATTTACATCTTGCTGGAAAGCTTACTGTATCAAAACTTGCTTGTTTTAAAACAGAATGAAAAAAGCATTTTTTTTTCCACAAAAACTACATTTATATTGGATCGTGTGTTCTTCTGTAGTCTTCTGTGATACCATGCAAAATAAAAGGAAAAATAATTCAGAATGAAAAGTCATAACATTATGGAGTACTGTAAAATTTCCTTATAAAATGCCTCTTTCAGTTTTTATTTCATAATTCGTGTCATCAGAAGGACATTTTACAAGAAACTTTCTGGTTTGATACGTTGTTTTTTTCTGATGGAAAACAGATCCACAGGGGCATTTCTGACAAGAACTGAAAACTTCTTGTTTGGGAGCTTTGCTCTGTATTATTTAGTTATGTTTATTTGTTTATTTGTTTGTTTGGTTGTTTTTTTAGTTCCTTTACTTTGCATTTCCACTGCAAATTTGGAATTTGCTCAGGGAGTTGCTAAAACTCTGTTGTTCTGATGCTTCATTCTGTTCTGTTGCTTCCTTTCTCTTCATTGGTTTTGCATGTAAGAGTATATATTACTGTAGAGGAGATAGGGTCTCTTCGAGGTTGGTCTCAGCTGTTGAATATGGCTTGTCTGACTCGATAGCTAGCAATATTAGTATTTTCTTAATTTCTTACATGTACAGATACTACGATCCTCATTATTTTTGTATTTTTTTTGTATCTCCCACTGCCGATTTCCCAGTTTTGTTTACCTGCCGCTAATCCTATGTAGTTTAGCAGTTCCTACAAACAGAAGAAGACTTCTACAGAAACCTGATAATTTTGAACCCACTTTATGTTTCTGTTCACTTTGAGTTGAGGCTGATACTAAACCAAACAAGGTTTTGCTTCTGAAGAGCACGTACTGGCTATGTTGAGTCTTCTTCCCATGGCCAAGTGTTTTCCTTCATCCAGCACTTGTATGTGTTGATGCGTCTGTGATTTTCCTGTCATCAGTGTTCCTGTCCAGTTAGGCAGAAGTGCTGTGCTACAGAAGAAGATTACGTGCTTGACTTTTGCTGAAGTAATTAACATACAACTGGACTGCCTTCTCCAGTTTAGTTTATGCTAAGATAGCTTTGTAACACATACTGACCAAAAAAGGGGATGCAGGATGGCAGTACAGCTTCCTGGAGTAATTTCTGGAATGCTGTTGCTTGGGTCTCACAGTGACAGTGTTTCTTGTATTAGGATACAGCATAGGAGAAAAAAAAAAAAAAGGGACATACACAGGTATTTGACTTTGGAAAGTCGTCATGCTTGCTGAGTGGTTTCTGTTTAGCACTATTTTGTGTTATCATCTTTATGCTACTGAAGTTAAAAGAAAAATGCTTAGAAAATAAGTGAGAAAGGAGGAGTGTCTTTGACTTTCACCTGCCAAGTTTCTCTGTGAGCTTGCATGTGTGCGAGGCTCGGATGCTGTACCAGTCAGTAGGCTTATTAGGCTTATTTCAACATTGCTCAACAGAGCCGAGACCTTGAATACACAATTAAGGATGGACACATCTCTAACTTGAGTAGCGGAACAAGCTGTAGTAAGGTATCACATCAAAGTCTGACCCACTAGAAATGGTAGATGATATGAAAACACTTAATTTTAAAGTACTTGCTCTTTAGGTCTGCTGAAGTGATTAGTCACCTTTTTGGTTTCTGTTTAACTGTCTGATTGCTGACACAGCGTATTTTTTTGTTCAAGGTTTTTCATATCAAAGTAAATTACAAGATACAGGATGGATTTGTTTTGTGAACATCCCTTTTACAGTCAAAACTTCACATGCTGCTGGAGTATGTCTGTTTTCACCAGAACTATGACTATGCTAGAAAGGAACTCTTCTTAAAACTTGTAATTGAGTCAAGTCTGGAAATTAATAATGCCGCCGAGTGCTACAAGTGCATACGATAATTACTTGATGCTTGCTAAAAGTTGTGGAGTGGCTGGAAGCAAATAGGCACGTTGTGAGCATCCAGACCGAGGGGCCTCACAACCAGCTGTTGTGAAGGACATATGCAAGGTCGAAGGAGATAAGGAAATTGGGATTTTGAGAAACTGCCTATGTTGCAAAGAGGTAAGGAGGTTGGAATGTAAAAAAGAATAACAAGATAAACAGAATGTAGGTACGGCAGAGCAAGGCGTGTGAACGAGCAGCTTTAAGCTATTAGCAACCAAAACGTAACATGCGCTTTGTGCTAGTGTAGAAATTGCTGTGTATCCTTTAATAAAGTGGCATTAACTTGATCACATTGATCGTGCATGTTGTGTCCGAGACTTCCGCGTCACCACGCTGCACTAAGCAATCCCTGTCTGTCTCCTTCCTTTCCCTGGGAACACACAAACACTAATCAGAGCCAGAACAGCGCTTTTAGGCTCACGGCGAGAACTTCTCACAGAAAGCGCTCGCACGTACGATCGTCGCTGTACAGCAGCCTCCCCTCCAAACTGCCACGGTACGCTAAGCCATCCAGCTCTCTCTGCTTCCTTTGCCTAGGAACACACAAACACTACACAGAGGCTGTACAAGCTCTTTTAGGTTCCTGGCGAACTTAAACTGCTTTGTGCTTATATTGTCTGTAAATGTGGCTCGAGTGATGCCCAGCAACTTGGTGAATCGTATTGTTTATTATTTACCTATTTTAGGAGGGTGGGGTATTAATCCCATATGACTTTCTGCTTTTTTACATTGGTTTATACTTGGCTTTCACTAGTGTGACATTCATCTGTAACCCTGTGGTCAGTCTGCTGTGAAAATAAGTATTGTATATTCTGTATCCTGTAGGCAAAGATGAAGCAGTTGTTTGAAGCATGGTGAAAACTGTCCGATTCTCAACAGCAGGTATGTCAGTGGGTTTTGGTGAGCTCTGATCTAATTGGAAAATTACAAACTGGAGTCAAAATTAATAAATTCATAGGAAATCTTGAACTCGGTTGCTCAAAATATAATACTGAGGACAATACTCTGAGATCTTATTTGTACGCCTTGAAAAAGATTGTCATTACTTTTTTCCAGTAGTGACCATTTCTTTCACAGTGTTGATGAAATGTGAGTCAGTGGGATGGGATGGAAGTTCTGTATGCCTGGAAATGGATGCTGAGCGGCAGCATAGGGAGAAGGTGGAATAATCTGCAACATTTTTTTTCTAATAATACTTATTTTTAAATGCCAGCATAGTAATTTGCTGCTCATGGAAAGACTTTGGACAGGTAAAAGCAACAGAAATCTACAGGTAATGTGCACGCAGTAATTTATTAATTTTGGTTGTCTTGAGGATACTTTTTTGCCAGCTTTCTCAGTGTATTGAAATACGAACCTGCAGATGGGGGTATTGAAAATTGGAGGTGCTATACTGAAATCTAATCTAAACCTCCCAATTTTCAAGTATTCTGTACCTTACCGTCCTTCCTCCTGAATGCCCTTCTTCCAGATTGTTTTGAATGAGTTCTTAGAACATGCACTATGTTCATGTTTTTTTCTGTAGAAAAAGAATTTGAAATAGTTCTGCAGAAATACTGTTCTGTTTCTTACCTAAGCCATCTCTCTCAGACTAGTACTCCCATAAAAAGCCTTAGCTGTTAGTAGTCGTACTGAATACACTTCCTCTTCAGGGATGTCAATCTGTTGACATACCACAGTTCAATACTAAGGTTTTGTATTTTTATGTTGGATGTTTTTTGAATTTTCTGAAGGTGAAAGTGGACGCCTGGGATGTGCACTACACGGTCTTGTAGTAAGTCACCTCTGTATCAAAGAGGAGGATGTGACATGGCAGTTATCCTGACAAAGCCCCTTCTGTAACTGTTGATACCTTATTTTCTCCCAGCCATACGTGCAGCTTGCTGAAGATGATAAGGTTCGGTACGAGAATGAAATGCAGTTGTGGGAAGCAAAAATGGTCAAACTTGGATGCGAAGACCTGATACGTTCCAGAAAGCAAAGCCAGAAAAGAAAACTGCTGAAACCTGTAAACAAAGCTGAAACAGCCAAAGCTTCTTCATGTGAAAACGAGGCAAAGTTAAAGTTGAAAAAATCGGAAGAGTGAAATGGTTAAGTATTTTATATTGATGCCCTTTGGTTGTCATGTCTTTGTCCTGCTGTGTTAATGCTGCAGTCTGCATTAGCACCAAAATTTGGAGAACCCATAAAGGGCCCACTGGAGAAGTAGAAAAGATGATCAGGTAAGAGGATGCGGTATCTCTCAGACCTGACTGAAATAATCATTGCAGGTGTAGCCTCAACTGTACAACAGTAACTGGTTAATCAAGCTGTGAATAGTGATACTCACTGACATCAGCAGAGCTCTCCAGTAATGGTAGATAACGGCTAGCTTTTACAAGATATTTTGAATGAAAGCAAGAATATTCTGCAATGTTACCATCTAAATGCTGTAAATAAGAGCTGAAATCTGAGTTAATGCTGCTGTGTTTTATTCCTCCGTGGTATTGGTAGCGAAACGTCTACGTTTCAACAAAAGGCACAGGAAGGTAAAATACTAACTTTTATTTCATGCATCTTTTTGTACAATCAGTGTATACCACTTGTGTTGCATTTCATTAAAGACCATATGAGTTTTGTGTAAACGTATCTTTACAGGACTTTTATTCCATGGCTTTGTTTGGATACATGCAAACACTTTGCCTTCCTGTTGTCACCTTTGGGACAGCCTGGAAGGAAGAAACTATGTGTGAACTGTTAGAACTTTGAGATTTGATGTAATAAATGTAGGTATTTTGAAGAGGTGCTTGTTCTTGTTTACCGGGGTCTGTCTGCCTTAGTGAAAGCCTCATAGGTATTTTGGAGAGTCTATTTTTAGAAGGCAGGCAAGCTTTTTCAGTAGGCAGTGGATTTCATCCATCCCGAATGACTCAGAAAAGCCAGCAAAGCTTCGCTTTTACCAGTGGGAAGTGGAAAGCCAAAGAGGAGTTGCTCGCCCATTTGTTTTACCTTTCTGTTTCCCGCTGGTTTTAAAACGTACCGCTGCTAACTGTGTCTGAGCGCACCTGGCTTTCCTCCTTTGCAGGAGAACACAGAGCGCGTCCCGGGGGCGGAGGCTCTCGCTCCTCAGCAGGTTCCCGGCTCGTCCCGAGGGGCAGCCGCCCGCACCCAAACCGTCCTCGGAGCGGCGGGGGGGCGGCGGGGGAAGCCGGGCCGGCTGCAGCCTGGCCGCCGGCATCTGCGCAGCTCCTGCCCGCTCCAATTAATTGTGCGGGAAGCCTTCCCCCTCCCCTGCCGCCCCCCGCGCCCGCCCGCGGAGCGGCTGCAGCCGCGGAGGGGAGCGGAGCGGAGCGGGCGGGGCCGAGCGGCGCGGCGCGGCTGAGGGGGGGGAATCCCGCCCGCCTCCCTGAGGGCGCTGCCGCCGCCGCGCATGCGCGGGCTCGGCCTCAGGCTGGCGAGGGGCGGCCGGGCGGGCTGGGGCTGCTGGAGCCGTGCGGGGCCGCCCGGGGCTCTGCCGAGCGCTGCCGCGTCCTGGGCGCCCGCCGGCGGGCCTCGCCGCAGGAGATCCGCAGCGGCTGCCCCCGCGCCTCGCTCCGCGTCCACCCCGGCCGCGCCGAGCCCCACGCCGAGGAGGCGGCGACGCGGCGGTTCCAGGTGAGGGAGGCTGCCGGCCGCCCCGCTGCTGCCGGCCTGACCGGCCGGCCCCTCTGTGCCCGCAGATCCTGGGCAAGGCCTACGCCGCCCTCAGCGAGGCGGAGCAGCGCGCCCTGTACGGTGAGCAGGGCACGGTGGGCGAGGAGGGCGAGGTGCTGAGGGGCGAGCGGGACTGGCAGGAGTACTGGCGGCTGCTCTTCAAAAAGGTAAGAGCTGGGCCGGGGCCCCGCAGGGCTCGCCTGGGCGGGGGCAGGCCCTGCGGGAAGCGGGGAGCTCCCTGCTTCGGGCCTGTGGCCGTGTCTCCCTGGCGAGCTGCGGGTAAAGCACGTGGCTGCTGTTGTTTTGCTTTGTTTTTTTGTTTTGTTTTTTTTAACGCTGTCTCTGAAATCCATCTGGTGAATAAATCATGTAACTCCAGAAGTGTCACTTCTTTGCTTCAGATCACAGTGAAAGTTATTGAAGACTTTGAAAAGAGCTAGAAAGATTCGGACAAAGAGCTAGCTGTTATTAAAGCAGCGTATGTGGATTTTGAGGGTGACCTGGACAGAATAATGGAGTCTGTGTTGTGCGTGGACTATACAGATGAACCAAGAACATGGAAAATGGTAGAAAAAGCCATTGCCTCTGGAGAAGTCCCATTCTACAAAGGTTTTGTAAGAGAGTCTAAGCAGAAAATGATTGTGAGAAAAAGGCGGGTAGGTTATATCAATCCGGGACCAAAGGGAAGCATTTTTTTTACGATAAGCTTTTAATCTTCCTTGTTAGAAATAAAATGGAACTGTTCTTGAGGCAAATGTTTGCCACAGGGTTTCTGGGTTACAGATCTTGCTCTGTGTCTTTGACTTTCACATTTGGACACCTGTATTCTCCACCCTTCCCCCCCCCCGCCCCCCGCCTCCCCAATTGTTGTGAAAGGCTTCTGAGCTGTGATAGGCTGCTGCCAATCTTTATTCCTTTGTTTTATTATTCATTCTTTATTTTATTATTATACACAATGGTTTATTACAGTTTAGCATGTCCCTGCATTTATTTACACAGCTATGAGTTGCTGGAGTTCAGTGTACGTGGTAGAAATACGTTATGCTCGCCTTCTGGCGAGTGTGGAATAACATGCTGGACTAAATGGACCTCTTCTTCAACGTGGGGTTTTTTGAACACTTTGTAGATCTTACATGCACATCGCAGTAACCGTTCTCTAAGTTAAAGAAAATGTAATAGCTGCCAAGACAAAAAAAGCGTGGGTGGGGGGAACAGGGATAGGCATAGACATCACATTCAGCATTGTGAAACAACAAAAAACTGTCCCGCTCTACTAAAGCCAGAATGGTCTTTCTTTCACCAGTTTGTCATCTGTGGCCAAATTTGAAAACGATTTGTGTTTCCTTGCAGCTAGATGTATACAGATTTAAAAAAAAAAAAAAAAAGTTTCATAACTATTGTAAGACTGTCAATTAACTTGCAAAATTCTTGTTAAAAAACTAGTTTGCTACTTTTGGCAGAAAAAGAAGCTAGAGACGCAGAAGAGACTAAAGCTGAACTGGACTTGGTGGAGAAGATGATTTGAAAGCACTGATTCAAGTAAGGCTTTTTCTATCTGCTGAAGAGAAGTATGTTACTGGCCTATAATTCTGTTCTCCCTGATCCTCTTTGTAGTTTGGATCCTTGCAACTTGAGAGTTCTGAGGTTAAAAACTGACCTTAATGTTAGCTACCTATGTACTTTACTTAATAGTCAGTGTGGTATGGATTTTATTGCCTGCGTCTTTTGAAAATTAACAAAGTTATTCAAATATCCTTATGGCATACACAATCAAAATATTTAACTTCTAGTTTTAGGTAGTTAGACAGGGAGTATTAATGATTCTTTCTCTGAGGGATTCCATCAGGATGTAGAAGCTGATAGGTCTTACTGTTTTGTATCTTGAGGACCGAGGAAAGAAACATACTGTTTACATTCTGTGCGGAGTCGCGGACGAACGACACGCCGAGATGGGTTCAGTGTGGGAGATAGAGCATCAATCAATGTGTGTGTCTATTGGTCCAGGGTACATATATTTATACAGACAATGATAATTATTATGCCTACTAGTCACTAGCTGATTGGCTTAAGCTCTAAAGGTCGTATTCGCACGGTCCACCTACTTGCAGTTAGCTTACAGCACAAGCTTCTCATAACACTAAGTTTCTCATGCTACTATTTCTGATTCCTGTTGACTTGTTTTTGATACACAACAGTACCATAACACAATGTTTCTCAGACCACCGTTATCATAACACTAAGTTTCTCAGACCACTATTCCTAATTCCCCTTAACCTGTTTTCGACACACCACGGTACACAGGGCTGAAGCGTCCTTGACATTCCTCATGTATCAGCAGCTGCGAGCAGCTGCAGGCAAACCCTAGTGAGGCCCAGCATCAGCAGCTAGAGCAGGCTCTGATCATACAATTGCTCGGTGGGCTCAGGACCCTTGTCTCTGAGCCATTCTCCAACAATTCCCCCTTTTTCTTTTTGTATGAGCAGAGCCTGCGCTAACGTTCGTTCAAAGATTTTCTTAATACATGACAAGGCACAACTCAGGCATGCAGGCTTACAATCTACTGGCTAAAGGCACAGGACCCTTGTCTCTGAGCCATTCTCCAACAATTCCCCCTTTTTCTTTTTGTATGAGCAGAGCCTGCGCCAACGTTTGTTCAAAGATTTTCTTAATACATGAGAAGGCACAACTTAAGCATGCAAGCTCACAATCTATTGGCTAAAGGCACTTATCACGCACCCAGAAGTGCTGTGATAGGTCTGCATCGTTAGTACGCGTGAACAAACTAAATCTACTTTGTGGTTAGTGTATCCAGGCATTCAAACAGGAAGGAAGCACTTGCTTGACTTCCTCCTTCTTGCCCTTCCAGGTGATCCCAAGGGCAGGATTACCATGTGGCAGTTTTCTGCTCAGAGACCCAGCCTGGATTGTCCAAACCCTGTAGGATCAGTGCATAACCCTGATCCCCCCGCAAAAAAAATTCCTACCAGGTTTTCCCCCTTTTTCTTTTTTGGACAATACAGACTCCTTTTAACGTTTGAATCATAGCATTCATAAAGCATTTCCACACAGACCCCAATACCATCATGACAATCATAATGACAATCATCATTGCCAGTCCATGCATCAACAAAGCTTTCAGCCACCCAGTAATTTCCAAGTTTTGTAGATTTGCAACCATCATCCGTCCATTTTCCAAATTCCCAAGTCTCGTAACCAGTCTGTCAGTCCATGTTCCAATCTTATGCAGTCTTATGTAGC